ATATATATTTGTGTATGTGAGGACTGCTGCATCCTGCTGTCTGGGTGAACCGAGTTCCGAGTTATCTAGACAATCCTGAACGGTGCCGTGGTGCCCAGGCTGTGACGGGCGCCCGGGTCCAGAGCTCGGCTCATCGCCGATGGCCGTGGGCGCTGAGTGCAGCGTCTGCTCATACCCACCCCATGGGGGCAGCACCGGGCTCCTGTGATCCTGAAGGGTTCGGGGGTAAGAGGATCCCGCAGATGACAGGTCCCCGGGGCACCGCGGTCTGGAGGCTGTGTTTGCGGGCGTGGGGTGCGGCGTGGGCCTCGCCTATAGCCGGCGAGCTGGGCGGACGCAGGTGCGTGCGGGAACCCGGCTGCTGGTCAGAACAGGCTCAGCTGCCAATGCTTAGAGGGTGAAGCCGTGCCTTTCCTCCTCCCTCCTGCCCGCACTCCGTGGTCTGCAGGCGGCTCTGCCCTTGAACTTGCCTGGCCTCTCCCTTGGAGCGCGGCGGCTGCAGCTCGTCTCCCCTGCATTCATCCCGGGGCCGGCGGGGACTGCGAGGAGGCCGCGTCCCAGGCCGTCCCGGGAGGCCACACGCCCACTGACCGCTCCGCTCCCCTCCCCTCCGCTCCCCTCTCCTCCCCTCCCCTCCCCTCCATCGGCTGGGACTCCCGGACCAGGTAAGGCCAGGAGCTGGGCGCCGGCTCTGTCCGCGGGTGCCCTATGCTTGCTGTGCGGGAGGGGGCGGGATTGGGGCCAAGCAGCACCCAGGGGTCCCCCGGCTCTCGGGAAAGCACCCAGAAGCCCCACCGTGGTGTCTGCCTCATGTGCCACCTTAGGAGACTGTGTAGTGCTTTGCGAGGAGGAAGCCAGGCTTCGACCAAGGTGACAGAGGAGGCAGTGTGGTGCCAGGTGGGGGGCACGCTCTGTCCTTGAACTCGCTGGCCCATGGACTGCAGAGCTCCGAGCTGCAGAGGCCGGCCCTGCCACCAGGGGGCTCTGGGCCGCCTACGATTGGCTGGAGGCCCGGGAGGGGTGCGGACAGCGGCCTGGGTGAGGGGAGAGCCGTGGGTGGGGACAGGGGGGCATTGGGGCCGTGGGAGAGGCCGGGAATCAGCTAGGACTGGCTGTGCCTGGCGGCTCCAGTGGCGGCAGCTGAGGTGCAGGTGTGGTCGGGGACAGGGTGGCACCAGCAGGAAAGAGGGAGGAGAGGCCCAGCTGACCCCCAGCGGGCGAGCACGGGTCCTGCGCCCCGCCTCGCCCCCGTCTTCCTCGGCTGCGGGGGGCCAGCGGCTGCCCGGGCGGGAGGCATGGGTGAGAGGTGCAAGGCACCCAGGAGGCGTCAGCGGGCTGAGGGTGCTGTGGGGGAGCCTCCGGAGGCTGCGGGCCGAGGCCTGAGCTGGCCCTGGACGGCGAGACTGAGGCGAGACCAGGTGCACTGCGTCCAGATTCAGCCCGTCCGTCCTCGGCGCCGGCGCCCGAGGGTGAGGCCGTGGAGGCCGTGGAGGCCGGCGCCCGAGGGTGAGGCCGTGGAGGCCGTGGAGGCCGTGGAGGCCGGCGCCCGAGGGTGAGGCCGTGGAGGCCGGCGCCTGAGGGTGAGGCCGTGGAGGCCGTGGAGGCCGTGGAGGCCGGCGCCCGAGGGTGAGGCCGTGGAGGCTGTGGAGGCCGGCGCCCGAGGGTGAGGCCGTGGAGGCTGTGGAGGCCGTGGAGGCCGTGGAGGCTGTGGAGGCCATGGAGGCCGTGGAGGCCGTGGAGGCCGGCGCCCGAGGGTGAGGCCGTGGAGGCCGTGGAGGCCGGCACCCGAGGGTGAGGCCGTGGAGGCCGGCGCCCGAGGGTGAGGCCGTGGAGGCTGTGGAGGCCGTGGAGGCCGTGGAGGCCATGGAGGCCGTGGAGGCCGTGGAGGCCGGCGCCCGAGGGTGAGGCTGTGGAGGCCGTGGAGGCCGGCGCCCGAGGGTGAGGCCGTGGAGGCCGTGGAGGCCGGCGCCTGAGGGTGAGGCCGTGGAGGCCGTGGAGGCCGGCGGCCGAGGGTGAGGCCGTGGAGCGGTCACTGTATTCACGAACGTCTTAGCGGGAGGCCTAAGGCGGTGGCGCTCGCTCCCCTGGCCCGAACGCAGCTCCGGCCGGGCACTTCCAGTCAGAAGTAGCGTGTGTGTGTGTGTGTGTGTGTGTGTGTGTGTATGTGTGTGTGTGTGTGTGTGTGTGTGTATGTTTGTGTGTGTGTGTGGTGTATGTGTGTGTATGGTCAGTGTGGGTGGTGTGTGTGTATGTGTGTGTGTTTTGTGTGTGTGGTTTTTTTTTTGTGATGTATGTGTGTGTGTGTGGTGTGTGTATTGTGTGTGATGTGTGTATATGTGTTGTGGTGTGTGTATGTGTGTGATGTGTGTGTGTGCTGTGTATGTGTGGTATGCGTGTGGTATATGTGCATGTGGTGTGTGTGTGGTGTGTGTGTGGTGTGCGTATGTGTGGTCTGTGTGGGTGGTGTGTGTGATGTGTGTGTGTGTGTGTGTGCTGTGTGTATGTGTGGTGTGTGTGGTGTGTGTGTGGTGTGTGTGTGTGTGTGTGTGTGCTGTGTGTGTGTGGTATGTGTGTGTGGTGTGTGTGTGTGTGATGTGTGTGTGATGTGTGTTTGTGATGTGTGTGATGTGTGTGTGTGGTGTGTGTGTGTGCTGTGTGTATGTGTGGTGTGTGTGTGGTATGTGTGTGTGTGTGGTGTGTGTGTGTGTGGTGTGTGTGTGTGTGTGTATGTGTGGTGTGTGTGGTATGTGTGTGGTGTGTGTGTGTGTGTGTGATGTGTGTTTGTGATGTGTGTGATGTGTGTGTGTGTGTGTGTCCCTGGCTTCACCCCACTGTGTCCGCCGGGGAGCAGAGCAGCCGCCGTGTCTGGGCCCCACGGGACAGCACGCCGCTCTGACTTACGGAACTTTCTGGTCAGTGGCGTGCGGCCCGGCTGGCCCGGCTGCTGAGGGCCCCACGTCTGTGGAGAGGGTGTCGTAGGCTCTGCCTCCCCGGCTCCTCGCGGGGCCACCCCGCCGCTGTGAGCCACCCGCGGGCTGTCTCCGCGGACAGGTCCCGTTGGGATTGCCGTTCCGAGCTGACAGGAGAGGTGTGACTGATCGCTCACACCGGACAGCTGCTGTCGTGTTGCTGTTTCACTTTTTAAAAAGTTGACTGAGGGAAGAGGTTGGTGCCCCGACGGGCCAGGGCGTGGTGTGCCAGAACTCGCGGGCGCGGGCACACGGTCGCCCGGACAACCGCTGTCCAGGCCGTTCCAGGAGAAAAGGTCCCAGGAACAGGTTCACCTCCCGGTTGGCTCTCGGCGGGCCCACGGGCCTTCCCCGGAGCAGCCGCTGGTGGGCGGTGGGGGAGGAGTTCCATCCCCGTCTGGGCTGGCGCTCCGGGCACGGGGAGGGGCTGGCCCGTGAGAAGCCTGTTCCGCCGCCTCTGGCTGAGGCAGCCCTGCCCCTGCCCCCTGCGGCTGGCACAGCACTCTCCCACTTGTCGATTCTGGAGTGGAGGCCTGTTTTGCCAGAATCTGTCCGGGCCGACAGGAAACATGGCTGCCTTTCCACTAAGACACCACACAGGGCAGACCACTCGGGCTCCACCAGTGGGAATGCAGGGCGGGCAGCCCCTCGGGGGCGGATCGAGCTCCTGGCCCGTGACTCAGTGGGCTGAGCGTCCGCCGTACACGGGAAGGTCTGCGGTTTAACTCCTGGTGGGGGCCCGCGCCTGCTTGTGGGTGTGCTCCCTTCTCTCAACACAACAGCCTGGCCGGCCTTGCTCAGTGGCTGGATCACTGGCCCATGGACTGAGGGGTCACGTACCTCACTGCAGGCTCAATCCCTGGCCTTAGTCGTGTGTGTGCAAGAGGCAACCAATCGCTGTCCCTCTCCGCTCCTCCCTTCTCCTCTACCTGGGGGAGACCCAGCCCTCTGGGCCAGTGATGGGTGGATGCTGGCACTGGGAGGCAGCAGAGAGGGGTGCCAGTCAACCGCTTTCAGGATCCTTGAGACGGACACTAAGAGCAGAAACTCCAAGACCAGCGGCCTGGCTCGGGGTACCCCACTACCTGAGGCCAGGGAGCCAGCACACAACGAGGCTCCACAAGGGCAACTGTTTTTCCTACGGCCACGAGCTCCAGATTCTGGAGCGGAGGTCTGGAGTGGCGGGTGGCCTGGCTGTAGAGGTGTCTCAGTGGAAAGGCAGCCATATTTCCTGTCAGCTTGGACAGATTCTGGCAAAACAATCTACACACACTAGGTTCTCTAGCCAAAGGGCCTCTAATCTTCACACGAGGAGATACTGCAAGAACAATCTTATGTAATAATGAAGTGATATGCAAATTGACTGTCACACCCCACAAGATGGCTCCTATGACCAGGCTGGCAGGGGGGTACAGTTGGGGGCAACCAGGCTGGTAGGGTGGGGGCAGTTGGGGCAATTAGGCCAGCAGGGGGGGCACTTAGGGGCTATCAGGCCAGCATGCAGTGAGGGGTGATCAGGCTGGCAGGGGTAGGGGGGTAGGGCAGTTAGGAGCAAGCAGGCAGGCAGGCAGGCTGGTGAGCAATTAGGGGCCAGCAGGTCAGGATTGTGAGAGGGATCCTGGATTGGGGGGTGCAGGCTGGGCTGAGGTGATCCCCTCCCCTGCATGAATTTTGTGCACCGGGCCTCTAGTCCTATATAATAAAAGGCTAATATGCAATTTTCCCCTTGGGCGTTCCACTGGAGACCAGTTCAATCGCTTGCTATGATGTGCGCTGACCACCAGGGGGCGGTGTGGAACGTGGCAGGTGACCAGGCGCTAAGCGAGTGAGGGAAGGAGGTGGGGAGGCTGGGAGGCTGAGAACTGGATCGGGCCTGATCTCCGGCCACACCTAGGGACCCCGCCTGTGTGTGAATTTGTGCACGGGCCTCCCTGTGTTCCCACTTGAAGAGCAGTGAGCAGTATATTCTGTTCAGGAAGCATTTTATTGTTGCTCCAAGTTAGACATTTCCACCGAGAAACATCAGTGCGTTCAGAACACTTCCCGCATGGCCTTGCTCAGCTTCTGGATCTTGGTTTTCGCAGACATGTCAACGTACTTCTCTCCGATGCGCACAACCATGCCGCCCATGATGGACGGGTCCGTCTGGGGGGAGGGGATGGGACGTGAGACACACGACCGTGCGCCAGCACGTGGAGCGCCGAACAGCACCTCCCAGGCCACGGTGCCAACGGAGCCGTGAGCACACCCAGGAGGGAGGTCAGCTGAGGGCACTCCCAGGATGGCCCCCGCCCGGGCACCCTGAGGTCTGTCCTGAGCGACAGCCTGAGGAAACCCCCGTAACAAACCTACCTTCACCTCCAGCTTCAGCACCTGGCCTTTCCCCAGGAAGCTTTTCAGGACCGTCTTCAACTCAGTCAGAGAGGCTTCGTCTAGAGCCTGGAGAGGAGCATGACAACCCTCTTTACCTCAGAGGAAGCAGAGCGGACACTTCCGGCAGGCCCAGGAGGCCCCCCCCTCCCCCCACCGCCCCGGGAGCCCCATGACCCCTCCACCGCCCCGGGAGGCCCGTCGCCCTGAGAGGACAGCAGCCGTTTTCCCACTTCACGTGTGTGAGAACTGAGGCTCACGGTGGCTAAGAAACTCACACAAGGCTGCCCAGGGAGTGAGGACCAGCGCCAACATTTGAAATCAGTCTATTTCTGAAGCTGATGCCTTAGTCGCTGATCAAAATGTATGTTTTATTAAAGAGCAGAGCGACCTGCCTCGGGCCTGGCCATGGGACAGGGTGGCCCTCGAGCCGGTAAATGACCCTGAAACCGGCCAGGCTGGAGCATCGTCCTGCTACGCCAAGGTTGTGGGTTCCATCCGAGGTCAGGGCACACACAGGAGCCGACCACTGGAGGCGCAAATAAGTGGATCTACAAACCCATGTCTCTAAAGTCAATGAAAAGACGAAGTGGAACGGATGTCCCTGACACCTCGCTGGGAGGCCAGCGCGCCCTGCGGACCAGGAGTGGCCGGGAGGCCAGCGCGCAGGCCCAGCACACTGCGCGCCCTCAGGGCGAATTTCCACCCACGGCCTCCTGCCCTGAAGCGCAGCAGGAAGACAGCCTCAGGACAAGACAATGAACTCGGGGGGGGGGGGGGGGGGGGGCAGCCGAAGGAGCATGGGCTTCTAAGAGAGGTCTGAGTTGGAACCCGGGCTTCACTGGTTGTAACCAGAACAACTTAACCTCCCTGGCTTGTTTCCTTGCCTGTAACCTAGAGAGAATCATACTTCTAGTTCGCATGGACCGCGGACAATAAGTTACAAGTACCAGCACACGGAAAGGCTCAGCAAATGGCGGCTATGACAGCCCATGCCATCCAGGCAGCAAGAGTAAAGGGCCCGTGTGCCCCACACTCCCCTGCACCCCAGCTGGACACCCAGTCTCAGTAAACTAGAGAACTCACACCCGCTTCAGAGCACAAACCCAGCACCTCCGCCCCGGCCGGGCCTTAGGGCAGCCACAGGCAGGGAGGCGAGGTGCATGCAGCCGCTCCAGAGCGCAGCTCGCGGAAGCTGGCGGACAGGGCAAACCTCCAGGGACAGGCCACCTTCCCTCGGGCCATGATTTTCGCCCATTTTTTCTTTTTTGTTCTGCCAAATGCCATGCACTAAATGCCAGGCGAATGCAGCGGCCACCGCCCTCACTTACAGACGCGGTGGTCACGGTGCACGGGACTTCTCCCCGGTGGACACTCATCATGGTGGAAAAGGCAGAAATGACGGCGGGGGTGCTGGTCAGGCGGCCATTTTCAGCGAGCAAATCTGGGGAAGGGAAGGTGTGTCAGTCACTGGACACTCACTCAAAACGGTCATCCACGGGTTTACGGTCACCTCCAAAGCATCATTTGTGGCCTGAGGGCTGTATTTAGCTCTAGCTGGCTCAGTGGACAGCGTTGGCGGACTGAGAGGCTTGGGTTCTATTCCGGTCAGGGCACATGCCTGGTTGCAGGCTCGATCCCCAGTAGGGGGTGTGCAGGGGGCAGCTGATCAATGATTTTCTCATCCGTGATATTTCCATTTCTTTCTTCCTCCCTCTCCTTTCCTCCCTGAAATCAATAAAAATATATATTTTAAAAATATTATTTTTTAACACTCTTTAAGAATGTGAATGGCGATGATGTAATTGTTATTCAATGTTAGTTTGTTTTCTTAAAGGAGACTTTACCAACCTGCATTCAAATTAGTAAGGGGTGTGTGCCTTACCCAGATTTGCAACAGATACCTATTTGCTTAATCCCCTCACCTCTCAGCCAGCCCACAGTGCTAACTGGCATCTCTGCCTGGTGATGGCGAGTGTCTTTTTGTGTGTATTTGCCATCTGCAAGCTCTCTCTGGAGATGTGTCCACTCAGGCCCTTTGCCGTTTTTTAAATTGGATTGGTTTCTCGATGTCGAATTGCATCAGTTCTTCACAGAATTTGGATATTAATCTGTTGGATGTATCGCTGGTGAATATGTTCTCCTACTCAGTGGCTTGTCTTTTAATTTTGTGGATGGTTTCTTTGCTGTGCAAAAACTTTTAATTAAGTTTGAAGCAGTCCCACTTATTATTTCCCTTTTCCCAAAACACATATCGGAAAAAATAGTGCTACAAGAAATGTCCGAGACTTTTCTTCTGTTTTCTCCTAAGGTTTTATGGTTTTGAGTCTAACATTAAGTCTTTAACCCATTTTGAGTTTATTCTTGTGCATGGGGTAAGAAGATGGTCTAGTGTCATTCTTTTTGCCTGTATCTGTCCAGTTGTCCCAACACCATTCATTCAATACATTGTCTTTGCCCCACGGCATGTTCTTGCCTCCTCTGTCAAATATTAGTTGGCCATAAAGAATGGGTTTATTTCTGGGCTCTCTACTCCATTTTATTGATCTAAAGGTCTGTTTTATGCCAGTGCCAGGCTGTTTTGATTATTCAGGTTCTTTTTTTGGTTCCATACAGACTTTTGGAGTATTTGTTCTTGTTCTGTGAAATCTACCGCTGGCATCTCAATAGGAACTGTGCTGAAGTGTACATTGCTTTGGCTAGTATGGACATTTTAATAACATTAATTCTTCCTATTAATGAGCATAGTATATGATCTACTCGTATCTTCCTCAATTTTTTTCTTGGTGTCTTATAATTTTCTAAGTATAGGTGTTTTATAATACATCCTTGGTTAAATTTATTTTTAGTTTTTTTTGTGTGTGTTTTCTTTTTCTTTTCTTTTTTTTAATATGACTGTAAATGGGGTTGTTCTCTTAGTTTGTCTTTCTGACAGTTCATTATTGGTGTATAAATATGCAAATGATTTCTGGATATTTTGTATTCTGCTACTTTACTAAGTTATCGGTTCTGGTAGTTTTTTGGTGGGATTTTTAGGGTTCTCTCTCTCCACAGTATCACGTCATCTACAAATAACATTTTCCCTTCTCGTTTCCAATTGTATGCCTTTCTTTTCTTGTCTGCCCGCGGTGCCAGGCCTTCCAGCGCTCTGCTGGATCAGAGAGGTGAAAGCAGACACCCACTTGTTCCTGCCTTTAAGGGCAATGCTGTTAGCTTTTGCCCGCTGAGTATGATGTTGGCTGTAGGTGTGCCATATATAGCCTTCGTTATACTGAGATATGTTCCCTCTATTCCCACTTTGCTGCATTTTAATCATAAATGGCTGCTGGATTTTAACCCTTCGATCGGTTTAGGTGCTGAATCACATTAACTTATTGCACATATTGTACCAGCCTGCACCCCAGACTAAATCCCATTTGGCCATAGCGTATGAACTTGTGTTGTGTTGACCAGGGGGTTTGGAAGCAACCTGATGAACTGAAGGATGCAAACTTCACCCAGGACAGAGGGACAGCCAGGCCACACCCTTTCTGTTGGTGTGACTCCCACTGGTGGCCCCGTGGATTGAGATACTGACATTAGACATTCTTACATCTCAGCATCTTTAGCCAGTGCCCCTCAAACCTAAACCCACAGACGGAGAATCAAGGACAGCCTGGGTGAGGCCTGACTCATAGTCAAGGGCAGCTGGCGCCCATGTGCCTGCCCTGGCCCACACCCCACAGCGAATCTGCAGAGACTAGGGAGAAAGATCTAGTACTTACTGATCAGGTTGGACGTGAGGGGAGAAAACTTCTCTTTGCTGGTCATGTCATTCAGGTTTTTCACTTTAATAGAACGCTTTGTAAAGGGATTCAAAATTGAAGCAGCCATTTTGGGTTCCTTCAGGATTTGCTAAAAGTGCCAAAAAAGAATTTCTTAAGTTCTTTAGAGCATCAACGATCCCAGCTGCCATACACACACTTCTTATGAATCAGAATTTCATGAATTAAACGGGCACTCTTAAAGCACAGAACAGTTTACAATCAAGTCATTTCTCCGCCTTTAAGAATACATTACACCATGATTTCACACAGGAGACACTATTTCTTAAAAAAAATGTAGACACTTTTTGAAATTTCTTAAAATTAACTGTTGCTTTTCGACAGACTATAGAAATGGTAAGCACCCAAAGATCCAGTTCACTGCGTATTTCACGTATTTCACATGGGGACTGCCCTAGTTTCTCACGTACTGAGAGGACACTAGCCATGCCAGCACTCAGGTGCAGACCTCAACGGTGCCACCCCCACAGGGGCCTGTGCCTCTCAGCCGGACCCTCTGTGCCACCGCTCAGAGCTTGAGAGCCAGCCCAGCCCAGACGTGTGGTGCTTCCGAACAGCCTCCCCGCCCGGGAGGGAGGACAGGGGGAACAGGAGGGCAGGCACCAGAGAGCCTTTGTCTCCCTGTGAAGCCACACGCCTGGACCCCATGACCAACGCTGCCTCCCTCTGTCACGCCCCTGCCTGCCCGCCCGCCCGCCCTCGGTTACTGCGTCAGCAGCTTCTCCCTGGCGCCCGCCCGGGGCCCATCTCTGACCCGCTGCCATCTCAGGAGACTGCCAGGTGGTGCCCGAACACATTCTTCCCGAGCCGTGCTGGGTGACACACAGGCAGGCGTCCGGGGTCTGGCTGCCCAGTGGACATTCGCGCTGCCCTTAGCACCACCCTTCTCCCTCCCTCTCTCTCTCTCTCTCAGTCTGAAGGCAGGTTCCTCTCTGCGTCTCCCCGACTTCCGGGTTTAGCCAAACCCCATCCCACAACCCAGCTCGTTTGCTAAGGGAAGAAAATACAGTTGGAATGCAGTCGTAACGGGCAGGAAAGCTACTTACTGCTATTCTTGCCAACTCCTTTTCCACTTGATCCAGTTTATTCTGTTTAGACGCAGCGGAGTACAGAGCAGTGGCATAGCGGCCTTCGACACCGTATATCTGCACAGGCGGCTTTAAGAGGCGGGGTGGGGACAGCAGGAAAACCAGTTAACACTGTCAGGGGCAGAACTAGATAGTTGTGACTGTAAGAAGACACCTTCTGGAGCACACGAGGTGAGCTGTGCTGTCAGAGCGCTTTCCTGAATGGCAATTCTCAAGGCGGAGTCCTTCCCGGCCGGGTCTCCGGACCTCCCGCTCCCCCCGCAGAACGGGCCTCAGGAAAGACGGGCCCAGCACCCTTTCGGCCTCACTCCCTAGAATCACTCCGTTGCCTGGGAGACGGGCTGGCTTCCTCTGGATGCAATGCTATTCAGTTTCAAGTATGGGAGGTTTTAACACCGACGGGAGGCAGTTTGAACTGTGAGAGCCACCAAAGCAGGTGCTTATGAAACGTGTAAAGCACACTCCGTGCATGTCACAGGTCCGCTCTCTTAGAGCCTCCTCACCAGTCACTTACGTGCCCGTTAGCCACTGACTATGTGCCTAAGGCTGGACGTGTCTCACAGTGCCTGCAGGCTCCCCCCCCCCCCCCCCCCCGCCCGCCTCAAAGTACCCCCCTCCCCCGTGGTGCTGTGTGGCTGCAGAGAGCAGCTCAGGCTCTGAGCGAGGTCTGGTTCCAGGGCAATCCAGGACCACGCTGAGGGACACGGGACAAGTCCCCCCGGAGTCTCCATTTCCTCTTGTGAATGGGAAGGCCAGCTACTCCCCTCCTCATTCCGGGGTTCAGGGATCCCCTTGTTCTGGGGTCCAGGGATCCTCCTGTTTAAAGGTTACGTGTGTGCCTGCCGCACAGCAGGCATTGGACACCACTGGTTCCCGAGCCCCCTGCACCCAGCCCGCCTTGGAACGGGTGCCCGGGCGCTCGCACTGCGGCTGCTTCACAATCACCAGGAAGCTGACCTACCCGCACGAGCTTGGCGAACGGCCGGGCCACGGACGTGCTGAAGCATCGCACCTGCGAAGCAAAGAAAGCAGGTGAGGCCGGGCTACTCCAGGGCGGTCGGTCATTTAACAGGAGGGCCCCTGCTGCTGGTGCAGCACAGCTCGGTGAGGCCGCTGCTGTCAGGGGACTTTCCAGCGGGGAGAGCGCCCCCAGGGCCAGCCCGTCGGCGGGGCAGGGCAGGCGGGGGCGGCTCTCCAGGGCAGAGGAAAGGCTAACCCCGAGGGACGGGTGTTTCCGGGAAAAGGAAGGCGACTGGCAGGCAGAGGACCGCCCGCGGCAGGAGCTCACTGACGCGGGAGCTGGGCCTTCCCGGGAGGCAGGGCGCCTGGGACCAGGCTTAGCCCGGAGCAGGGCGGGTGTGAGGGCGGCTCCGGGTCCGAGGGCGGCTCAGCCGCGGAGGGACGGCCGCCGGCAGGGCCCCCGCCCCGCAGTTCAGCACGGAACCGGCGGTGAGGTCAGAGGTCAGAGGTCAGGGCGGGGTCGGCGGCGCCCGGGCGAAGGGCACCGAGGGCGCGGGCTCCCTCTCCAGCTCCCCGAGGCTCCGGGGTCCGGGCCTCAGCTCTGCCCTGACCGGCGGGCCGGACGGACCCCGGAACCGCGCCGCCTCCCTTTCCTGGGAAGATGGACGATCGGGGGAGGCCCCGTCCTCAGCCCGCCATCCGCGGAAGCCGGGCGCCCAGCTCCGGGGCCTCACGCCTGCGGCTGCCCGGAGCCGCCGCAGGACCCGAGGCCCGGCCCGCGCCCCCGGCCCGCCGGCCCCACGACCCTGAACGCGGCCGCGCTCCCACTGTGGGCCCCGCTGTGGCCCCCGGGGCCCCGCCGCCTCACCTGCCGGGAGAGCCCGGACACTGCGGGCGAGGCCAT